GACGAAAATTTTCCGTCGCTGCCAGGTTTCGAAACCGGGACCTATTGAATGAAAGGTGAACATCAAACCCCCAGACCACGAGAGCACCCGATGGTGGTAGTTTTGCTACCTAAAAAGAGAGAAAGAGAGAGACAAACACACACACACACACACACACACACACACACACACACACACACACACACACACACACACATACACACTCAAACACACACACACACAGAGGGTGGGGGGGCTCTCGTGGCCTAAAGGTTAAGATGTTGGCCTCTCAGTCAAATGTCCCGGGTTCGAATCCGGGTAGCGACCAAACAATTTTCTTCTCTAAAATTGTCTCCTTTCACCTCCTTTCCTGCTCTCTTGCAATATTCTGTCGTCTGCTTTCGTCTCCACTCTCTGCCTCCTCCTGCTCGCCTCCTTTGCCTCCTCCTCTGGGCTCCTGACTCTTTCTGCAGCCTTTCTACTGCTACTCCTTGGCTCGTTCTTACTGCTGTCTTTCAGCCACTCCCCTGATCTTAATAATAATAATAGATAGCATTTGTATAGCGCATATCCCCGCTCAACAGCAGGCTCTATGCGCTTTACACTATATTATTACCCCCAGCAGACCATAGAACACTCCGAAACATTCTCAGCTTCCCGGGAAGCATACAGTGCAAGCAGCTGATTAAGCGCCTAAACACTAACAAACTGACAAGATCTTTCGCTGTCTATAGCCGGGTACCCATTCCCACCTTGGTGAAGTGAGGAAAATTCGTGTAAAGTGCCTTTCCCAAGGACACAACGTCGGGTCCCTGGCGGGATTCGAACCCATGACCTTACGGTTGCGAGTCCGAGAGCCTAACCACTAGGCCACCGACGCCATCTTCTGGTAGGAATGATCTACACCTTGCCTTCTCAGACAGGGCGAAAAACCTCGGAGGGCCCGTGTGCAAGTTGCGCATGTTAAAGATCCCTTGGTGGTCTAAAATCGATAAGAGTAGACTTGGGCCGCCACCCAGGCAAAATTCAAAATTGTCTCCCTACTGAAAATGTCTAACGTGTCCCACGCGCTCATACGACCTTATGCAGTTGCGAGCACCGTAAAACACTATTCAAAAAAACTTTTTAAAAACCCAACACAACCCCCCCCCCCCCCACACACACACACACATACACATCGAAAGAGAGAGAGAGAGAGAGAGAGAGAGAGAGAGAGAGAGAGAGAGAGAGAGAGAGAGAGACAAAGACAGACAGAAAGACAAACACACAAACACACACATACAGAAAGAAAGAGAGAGAGAGAGGGGGGGGGCAGACAGAGACAGAGAGGGGGGGGTCACAAACAGAGAGAGAGAGAGGGGGGGGGGCAGACAGAGAGAGAGAGAGGGGGGGGGGAGGGCAGAAAGAGAGAGAGAGAGAGAGAGAGAGAGAGAGAGAGAGAGAGACAGAGACAGAGACAGAGACAGAGAGAGAGTGGGGGTGGACAGAGAGAGAAAGATAGAGAAAGACAGCAGGAGAGACGGAGAGTTCACACGTAATAATAAATAGAATACTTGGATAAAGGCTCCAGGTTCCATAAATTTTGTAAAGTATTCTCTCAAAAGCCATTTCCTCAGTCATTTCCCTTCATTCCCAACTGTTGCTCCACGAGTCTTATTAACCGATCTTTTGGCCTAAAAGTTTTTGTTTTTTTTAATAACACAATTTCACCTCGCAACTAAAATGTTTAAGACTTGAAAGAGACAAAACACAATTTATTTTGAAGGTAGAACACTCAGTCACAATACTAGAGGGGTGCTCTTTTATAAAGTAGGTGACAGCAACCCGAAATAAGGGCTTGAATAAGGGAAACGATAACCTTAAAAAGTCTTGTCAAACAACAGTAAACAGAAGAACAGAAAAGCCGCTTTAATAAGTGAAAGACAAAACTAGCAAAACTTTTTAATGAAATATTGGAAATGTTTCAAACCTTAGTAAGCCTTTAGAAAGCACACTTTTCGAAATGAAAAAAAATGACAGATTTCGCTTTCCCAGAGCTATTCTTTTCAATTTGTTTTCCAAGAGCTATCCCTTTATATCCTTTTCATATTGCTTTCCCAGAGCTATCCCTTTATATCCTTTTCATTTAGTTTTCCCCGAGCAATCATTTTCATTTTGCTTTCCCGGAGCTATCCTTTTCGTTTTGCTTACCTCGAGCTATCCCTGAGATATCCTTTTCATTTTGTTTTCCCAAAGCTATACTTTTCATTTCGCTTTCACAGAACCACCCTTCTCATTTTGTTTTTCCATAGCTATTTTTTTTCATATTGCTTTCTTACAGCTATCCTTTTCATATTTCTTACTGCTTTCTAAGAGCTATCCTTTTCATTTTGTTTTCCCAGATCTATACCTTTCATTTTGCGTTCCCCAAGCTATCCTTTTCATTTTGCTTCCCCCAAGTTATCCTTTTCATTTTGCTTTCACAGAGCTACCCATTTCATTTTGCTTTCCCCAAGCTATCGTTTTCACTTTGCTTTCCTAGAGCTATATTTTTCATTTTGCTTTCCCATTCCCAGAGCTATCCAGTTCACATTGCTTTCCCATAGCTATTTTTTTATTTTTTTATTTTTTTATTTTTTTATTATTTCTATCCTTTTCATTTTGCTTTCATCGTGCTATTCTTTTCATTTTGCTTTGCCCGAGCCATCTTTTTCATTCTTTCTTCGAAGAGTTGTCCTTTTCCTTTTCCTTTCCATGAGCTATTCTTTTCATTTTGCTTTCCCGGAGCTATCCCTTTTCCCCCAGCTATCCTTTTCATTTTCTTATCCACAAACTATACTTTTCATTTGTCAGCGAGATAAAAACAGCAAAATTGAGAGCATGAATTCCAAGCAGCTGCATTGTGCATAATTATTTCTCGATATAATAAAGTGGAGAGCACTGTTTGGTAAAAACAAAGGTCTCCGCGAGAAAAGCTCACTGTCGCTGTCTTATTCCTCGGATGTGTACGCTAGACCGTTGTCGTGGCGGGCTGTATTTTCGGTACGGGGCTATAAATAGCTAAGAGGTCACATGAACCCGAGGCGGGAAAAAATGCATGAATTTTAAAGGAAAATAATATAATAATATGTAGCATTGTTCATATGCTGTTAGACCACGTGGTTTGTGCGTAGACTTTGCTATTTTGAGGCGCTGATTACGAATGTGACATCACATTTTTATTTCGAGCTCAAAATTATTATTTTTTTTTAGCTCCGGCGAGGCCTTTGGCTTATGAGTCACCACCCGGCCCGACTAAAATGGAGCAAGAGGCTTTTCAACCGACACGTCTTTTGTCGTATGTGTCGTGTCGTGTCGTGTCTGTTGACACAGCCAAACAGAATGTTCACTGATTTCTTAGGAAATAAATGGTGCTCCATTTCAACCACTGACTTTCCGAGAGACGGACGGAAATGGGTCGGTTGGTGTCTTTTGCAATGGACACGAGCCCTTAGGCTGAAAAATATACTCCCACGCACAACTGAAGCGCGCCACGAAAAAAGTTGTGTCATTCTCTCTATTTCCTATCGGTGATTTCACTGACACGACTAGACGTGAGGAGTCGTGAGGACTCAAAAAGACGTGCACGCGTGCAGCACTTCTTTTTCGCGTGCAGACAGGCTCGCCCTGCTTGGTCTATCGGACTGTTCCGGAACGCCTTGGAGATAAAATTTAAAAAAAGGGGGGGGGGGGCGACAACTGAGCTGTATTCGCCTGCTCAGCGCCATATTTTTAGACAGCCGGACGGACTCGCTCTGACCTATGGGATCACCACTTCCGACGTAGCTGCTCGTCTGTTTCGAGGCGCGTTTGAGTTGTACGTGGCAATATATTTTCAGCCTTAAGCAAAAGCCAACGCTGTTGGTGCGTCCATGGAAAGGTCTAAGCACAGACTCATCATTGTGCAATATATATTGGGAGTGTAGGGAGAACGTCAAACTGTCAATACTTTTGACGTTAAAAAGTTTGACCAAAAGTTTGTGCGTGTATGGGGTACTTTAGAACTGCTCCATAAGTCTATTCTCGGGCCTGGCAGTGAAGTTGTTTAGGACATTTCTATAGTCCTATTTTTACTACTGTAATGTTTTTTACAGTAAAAATACTACAACAAATTATGGGGTGTTTCAGATATTATTGGTACTGTGAAGCATAGTTTCTTACTCCTGACCCCCCCCCCCTTTTTTTTCTCTTTTTCTGTCGTTCGCCTTGATGGTACTTTTCTACTAAGCGGCGAGAGGGATCGTATTTTGAAGCCTCATCTAAACATTTTCCAAGAAAGGTTGCTTTAGAGCATAATTTTGCCGAAGTTCTACTGTCGTCTTTGGTGCAACCTTAAGTCGCTTCACGGTTGCACGCCGAAGACAAAAAGTGTGATTTCAGTTAGTATTGGGAGGGTTTTTGGGTGTTGTTTTGGTCAAATATTTCTGTCTGTCTGCTGAGACGTTGTATCCCTTTCAGACCGGGTTGATACCCCTTAATGGTCTTAAATTAATAGTCTGAATTGTGTCAACAGGGTCTACGATTACATTTATATATGACTGTCCTCTAGGAAAATGGACATTAAACACGAGGCTCTGTTCGAGCCGATCACGAGCCGTAGACAAAGATTGTCTTAAACATTAAGCGGCGGGAAAAGAAATAGAATTGTTCAAAACGATGCTGAAATGAAAAAAAGAAAGAAAACTTTGTTGTCACCCAAAATCATTCAGAAACATGGCGGACAAGTAAAAATGAAATTCGTAAAAAAGAAAGCAAAACTGAAAGGCTGACTGCAACTTTAGTTGTTTTTATTTTTTCTCTGAGTAAATAAGACATTCGTGTGGAACCGCGTATTCATGTGTACGGATGTGGGTTTTTGTATTGGTGTGGTGTATTGGTCTGTGTGTGTGTGTGTGTGTGTGTGTGTGTGTGTGTGTGTGTGTGTGTGTGTGTGTGTGTGTGTGTAGTTTGGTGCTTGTTAGTGTCAATGTGGGTGTTTGTGTGTGTCTGTCTGTGTATTTTGCTTTTGTGCGAGCTTGCTCAAGCACATATTGATGACATTCTTCCCAAGCCGAGGTCTGGGTGAGGCTTTAATGTAGATGACAATGGCACATGTTGTCATGGTGACATTTGGCGTGGTCCTTGCCGCACAGGGTCACACACTCGTCGTCAGAGGTACAGTTGGCGCTGTGGGCTGAGGACAAGCCAAGAGAAGGAGGTCACGTTTATGAATATTTCATTTACGTTCTATTCATATGTTTTGATTCCAGTATGAAATTATGTCGATGGCGGTGCAAAAACACTGATGATTAAAAACAATAAATATTTGTATGGGTGGTTGGTGGATGCTCTGGTGTGATTTGTTCCTTTTTTCTATAAAACATCTGTCGTCCTTATTATTTCTCCCTTTTTTGTGTTTGTCATTCTCTTGTACCACCTCTAATCGTCGGCACTTAAATGACCTTATTGTCTTGCTGATATGAAACAAAACAAAACATTCTTATAAATATATATGTATATATATATATATATATATATATATGTTTGGATAGGCAAGGAATGATTATGAATTAGACTTAAACGTAATATGAAATGGTAACAACTCCCAATTTACTGATACTTACCACGAACATGAAAGTGGGACTCTTGGTGACCTGTAAACATAGAGAGATTAACGTTTGAAACCTTCTTCACTAAAACACATTGTAACATAAAACAACAAGAAGAAGAAAAGCTGCGACTCAAAAAAGACCAGAAACGACAGGAAGAGAAAGAGCAGGCAGGCAGTGTGGAAGAAACAAGACCAAGAGGATAATTGGATACCTCGTCACCCCTCTCTGTCAATCTCCTTACGTTCTCTCTCTCTCTCTCTCTCTCTCTCTCTCTCTCTCTCTCTCTCTCTCTTTCTCTGTTCCTTCTCCCCCTATCTATCTATCTATCTATCTATCTATCTATCTATCTATCTATCTATCTATCTATCCACGCTCTCTTGCTCTGACTCTCCTCTCTCCCCATTTTTCTCCCTTCATTCTCTCCTTTCTTACTCATTCTCTCTTTGTTTATCCCTCCTCTCTCTCTCTCTCATCCCCCCTCTCTCTCTCTCTCTCTCTTTCTCTCTCTCTTCTCTCTGTTTCTCTTCCTCAATGAAAACCAATGGACAACTGTCCTACCGGCAGATTCCCCAGAACGTGTGTTCTCATCATGTCAAGACAGTTAAAAGTCCGACCAAAATCTCGCACCTATGGCGGTACATGCCAAACTAAGCGATTTCGTCATTTTGGAGGGCGGTGGGAACCATCAGAGTTGTGATAGGTATCAAAATTTGGTAGCTTTCGTCCCATCCAAGAAGTATAATCCGGCTGACCTCAGCTCAATCAGATGAATCGAACGGGAAGTCTGCACTCAATGTAACATTTTCTAAAAGATCGACATAATTTCGGTCAACTGTTAAAATGTACCAAACCCAGAAAGTAAAATGTCACAGGAGTAAGAAAAACAGTTTTATTCTTTTAATAATACTAATAATAGATAGCATTTGTATAGCGCATATCCCCGCTCAACAGCAGGCTCTATGCGCTTTACACTATATTATTACCCCAGCAGACCATAGAACACTTCGAAAAATTCTCAGCTTCCCGGGTACAAATGTACCTTCATAAAAATTGTATATTTGCTATGCTTTTAAAAAATAACAGTATTTGAATTTGGACTACATGCTTATTGAACACATACAGCAGATTAAGAATGTGTAATTTAAAGAAAGTAATAATTAACTATTTTGTGGCAAAGAACATTTTAACAACAGTTCGAGAATAAGTACCGTGTGGGGCGTCACAATCACACTGTCCGTTCTGACAGACTCCATGATGGCTGTTACCACATACAGGAGGGTGACAGTCATGGTCAGCTTTGCACGAGGTCGCTCTCTTGCCTACAGCGGCGTCTAAATTAAAGAAAAAAATGTTGTTAAGTTATCAGTAATATAAAATGGCAGTATCTCCTAATCTATAGGCGTTGACAGACGAGATGTTCCGGGTTGTGGTTCCCGAGTACTGGTGACTGACTGGATCTTGTGCAATTGGCACAAGGAGACATTGTTTAGTGAGTACAGACGAGATGTAAAAAACAGAGCGGTAATTTCTGCAAGGTCTGGTGATACGCTGTAGACAATGGGAGAGGTCACACGAGTGACAGGCGTTATTTTCAGTCCTGGCGTCATAGCAGAGGTGTATAGCCCATATTCCGCTACTTCGCGACACACCGGCGTGTTGGTGAAGCACACAGTTGAAGGGAACAGGACACAAGATGTATTTACTGCCGGCGCTTTTCTACAGTAGGTGTGTGTTTTTTTCGCTTATCATTCAAAACGACAATATTTCCATCATGAGTAAAGCCACCCTGACTCTCCGATCGTCCATGTTGAACTGAGCAGTAGCGTTAAATGTCAACCCCCGCGAGGCTGTTACACAAAAGTAAGCGGCACATTCTGAGCACAATTTACTATGCGACATTAACTCGTCTGTCAAGTCCCTTACTGATACACACCACGAAAGTGGAAATGTGGCTGGGGGAGAATATTTAATTGAAGAAGATCATTGTTTTAAATATTATTTCATTAAAACACATTACAACATAGAGTAAGACGAAGAAGAGCAGTGATTTCAGACAGAAGGGAAAGGACATAAACTGCCAGATGTAGCGAAATAGGCGCCGATGGCAGCTTGGCAACTTACCGTGGTTGTTGTGGTTGTTATGGTTCTCGTGGTTGTTGTGGTTTTCATGGTGGTTGTTGCCGTCGTTGCATTCACAAACTTTGGTGTGGCTGTTGCATGAGGCGACGTGTGCGTCGTGGCACGGTGTTGGGTGACAGTCGTGGCTGGTGCTACAAGAAGTCTGGCTGTACACAACGGCCACGCCTACAGGACACCAGGAATTCTCATATAGTTATTTGTAAATACAAATATCATAATAAACAATATCATGTTGAAAACCACCACCTATATAAAGCAAGAGATATGTCTATACAGTTTCATAAAAATAAAAAAACAATCTAAAGATAAATACCAATTCTATCCTGAAAACTACTATACTCACAAAATAAACGGGAGTATTTTGTAATTAACATACAAATCAACATAATGATGATAGACAATTTGCAGAAAAATGAAAAAGATATTTTCCCTGGAAAATGACTTATTTCTCCAGCGTTCAGCTATAAACTTTTCCAGTCTAACAATGGGCTCGTCTAGACACAGTACAGAATTTTCAATACAAATGTTTAAAGCAGTTTTATTGTATAGATCGGATACATTGAAACTATGAAAGTGAATGGTAAAAAATAATCTACAGTCATCCATCAATGGTTGCCTGAGCAAGTTCATGAAAATCCACTGGTGGTACACCATCAAAACTGTACCGTAGTATTATGGATTGAAACCTAACAGCAACCAGCTGAACGTGAGATCAAGACAAGAAGATGGCAGTGGATCAGGCACACGTTTAGGGAATCCCGCCCACAATATGATAGCCTTGTGATAAGAGAAAGCCTCAGATAGAATCTATAAGGGAGGAGGAAGAGAGTGAGGCCGAGATCCACCAGCTGGGAGCGAGAACTGGTGAGGCACAGCTGCTGGCTGGAAGTAAAGTAGATCGAGCAGAAATAAATGTTGTTGGGTGAGAAACCTTCCTTGTTGGCTATACTCAATGTATGGCTCTTTTCATCTATGCAGACGGTCAAGTTAGCTTAAGATGGTCTCTATTCAATGTTGATTTCATGCAGGTTCTTTCATGGCTAATTCTTCCTGTGTTTGAAGGGCAGATTTTGTCACAGTACTTGCATGTCAGTGACGTGGATCGAAGCTCTGTACTTCCGCTGTTTTCCTTTCGCCGTTGGCGCTTCTCAGCCTGATTGTTTCCAAGACTGCTCTCTAGCTTTTATAGTTCTTTCCTTTATCATTTTTCTCCATGCTTTCTTGTCCTTGGCTATTTCTTCCCAGATTCTAACATCTACTCCAAGCTTAGATAAGTTGTTTTTGCAGGTGTCTTTGTACCTCAATTTTGGTCTTCCTCTTGGTCTCTTTCTCTGGGCAAGTTCTCCATAGCAAGGTTGTTTCGGAATCAGGCTGTCGTCCATTCTCTTGACATGTCCCAGCTATCTCAATCTTTTTAAATACAGGATACTTGTCATGCTCTGGAGATTTGCCCGTGCAAACAATTCAACATTTGTAACCTTGTCACGCCACGAAATGCCTAAGATCTTGCTGCAGTATCTGAGAGGGAAAATGTCGAGGCGCTTTTCTTGCCTGCTGTACAAGGTCCATGTTTCAGATCCATAAAGGAGTGTGCTGAGGACACATCTTTTCACAATACAAAGGTAAAAAAAGGCACTTGAGGATGAAACGTTTTGCACTCTTCACTATATTATGCAGATCACAAGATAATAGATTGCTCTAAAAGAGCAATCGACGTCAAACAGCCACAAAAATTATTTTTTTTTAAATCAAGTAACAAGAACAACAAGAAAAGAACACTTACAGAGAGCAAAAGCTAAGGCGACAAACTTGTACATGGCTGCAGATTTCCCAATTTCTCGGCGATGTCCTAAGAAGTCAGTTGGTTGTCTATTGTTGGTATAAAATGAGGAATCAAAATTGTACTCTTTTATACCCTTTCCGTCACGATTGTGTTCGCAATTTTTGCATTAATCCACAAACAAACAAAAATGAGAGAAGAACGAGTAGCCTTGACAAAAAAAAAAAGAATTTTATCTACAGGGAAGCCTCACAAAAATGTATTGTTATCAACATTTTTAAACTCACGATTCCAGTACAAAAACGTCCAGTTCAGGAAATAGGCCTCCCGAGTCAAGAGAAAAAAAAACCATCGACGAAAGAAGCAACACTTCTTAAAATTCCAAATAGCAGGAGAAGAAAAAGACAAAAACGAAGAAGAAAGCGGATGAGGATAATAGAAAGAGTATTTATAAAGTTAAATTACAACAACAACAACCACAACAACAGCAACAACAACAACAGCAACAACGACAGCAGCAACAAAAACAACATCAACATCAAGAACGGTCAGCAGCAGCAGCAGCAGCAGCAGCAGCAGCAGCAGCAGCAGCAGCAGCAGCAGCAGCAGCAGCAGCAGCAGCAGCGGCGGCAACAACAATAACAACAACAGCAAAACACCAAGACCGGAAAAACAATAACCATAGCGATTACATCATCATAAAAACAACTGCAACAACAACAACAGAAACAACAACAGCAGCAACAGCAAGAGCAACAAAAACAACAACAACAAATCATAAAAAGCAACAATAACAATAACAACACCAAGAAAAAACAACATCAACACAAAAATAAAAGCAACATAATAAACAATATCAACACCAGCAAGTACAGAAGTAAACACAAAACTGGGACAAGTCCATTTTTTAAAAAAAATTCAAGAAACAACATTCCATTCCTTTTAGTAGAATTTCAGGATTTCAAACATTAAAAAAGAATCACTGTTTTTAAAATATAAGGCAGCGTTACGTAGTCTTTTCACCAGACTTGATAAGCTTCAGACTGTCCGAAAACAAATCATGTGCTTCATCATGCGTGATTATCATGGGACCCCCCAAAAAGCCATGATCTGCGACAGTATTTTTACTATCAAGGACACCATTGTGGACGTATAGATAAGAAAGTTGTTCCGCAGTAGTTTCCCTTGTGAGAAAAGATGTGTCCTTGAACTTTCCCTGACCTCATCTGAACATGTATTCTGTGGAGTCCCCCTAAAGTGAACACACTTTATTTTAACAATCCCAATTGAAAAGTTACTTTTTTAAGATTTTTTAAAAAGCAAATAGTGGATAAAATGAACCGGTTTCATGGGGAAATCGTATAAAGTGAACGCCCAAAATGAGTGCATACGAAGAACGGACCGACCGTGTCACTGTCGCCATGTTTTGGAAATAAAATTCTTTGCCTTGGGCTTCGGCAGACAATCCCAGCTCGGCGTTGGCGACGGCAATCTCAATCAGAAAGAAATAGCTAGCTCTAGTCTAGACTCGCCCTCTGTGTTGTCCCCCCCCCCCCACCCTACCTCCACCCTAGACCCACCACTACTCGTTGCTACTGTTTCTAGGCCTCCATCCTACCAAAATGGTTACACTGAACCTCGGATAAAGTGAACACTTTCTTCAGGTCCCAAAGAGTTCACTTCAAGCGGACTCCCCTGAAGTTAAAATATTATTATATCCTTGATTTCGCTGCTCTGGCGTCAGTGTTACTCTGTGCCATAGACGTGTATCATAATAAAGCTGCACCGGCCAATAACGGTCATTCAAGATCACAGAAAAACGTGACTGTTATAGACAGTAGGAGGCTATGTACAAGCTCTGATTTACAATTATCTAATAGACTTGGCATAGTCAACAGATGGTTAAAAAAACTTAAATGTTGATATTATTTTTCTATTTCATTTGCAACACAACTGTGTATATGCCATAAGAGTTGTTTGTTTTTGTTTGTTGTTGTTGTTGTTGTTTTTACTTTGATACTCAGCCTGGGGACGATTGGGGGAAAACTTTGGTCACACATGTCTTTGAGTACGTTTTGAAGGCCGGCATGTGGTGGGGATGGACAGAAACCTCTAGGGGAAGGTTAAAATGATATCGGTTTAACTCCTGCCTCTCAGGACCAACACGAGCTGAGTGGGATTCAATATCCCAGCAACCAGTGTCTATATATATATAGTAGTACTGTAGTGGTCAGGCGCTTTGCCATCGTACATAGAGACCTAATTCCATTAATTTGTGGGTTGGGGGGGGGGGGGAGAGAGAGAATTACAAACATTATCTCGGTTTTTGTTGTTGCTGTTGTTGTTTTTGTTACTGTTGTTGTTGTTGCTGTTGTTGTTGCTGTTGTTGTTGTTGTTGTTGTTGTTGTTGTTGCTTGGACATTGTATCCCTCTCCGCCCAGGTTGACCCTAACAGATAGTATCGAAACCGCCTCCAAAATGACCTAAATTGTGTCAATAGGGACATAAAACTCCTACTCCTGTGGTTAACATCTTTAAAAAATTTGATAAACCCCAGCAGACCGAGATGCTCGTTTAAAAAAATAATTCCCACAAGAAAATCAAAATCGCGTCCTCAGAGTGTAACGGCAAATAGCCTAACAACAGCGCAGTACAGATGCTGGTCAGTTCATCTCTACAGTCGTCTAGCATGATCTGTTGAAGTTTCTAGACATACAGGATTGCTCCGGGGACTTTTTACTACAAACGTACAACTAAATAAGAATCACGTTGTCTGATTTTCTCCCTTAATCAGTAGTGCAGGAACTTTATCCAGGTAAGTAAGCCAAAATTTTCTGCCACATTGCACTGCAACTGCTGTCTGGGACGACACAAACATATAACATAATATACTAAAGACATAACATAGCCTCCAAAAATGTTGTGAGACTTTCCGAAAGGCTCAGTTGTTTTAGATACTCTTCTATATTTTAGCTGTAGAAATAGTCCACAGATTCTCGAAGTTTTCCACGAACTGTTATAAAGTGTTTCCTCGGAATTGATCCTTTTAACTTTTATAATAAAGGTGGGGGGGGGGGGCATCAAAATACGTAACTATTAAAAAATTACAGTGCAACTGATGTTGACATACTATATTACAAATTGATGATGATGATGATGATGATGATGATGATGATGATGATGATGATGATGATGATGCTGATGATGATGATGATGATGATGATGATGATAAAGAGGAAGAGGAGGAGGGAGTTGAGGAAGGGGAAGAGGAGAAGGAGGAAAATGATAATCATATTGATAATGATAGTAATAAAAAGAAGGAAAAGAAGAAGCTTCTATAACTATAACACTACCAACACGATACCCAAAATGGCACTACCGCCACCATCACAAACAAAAAACCCACCAAAAACGACAACAAACAACAACAACAACAACGACAACAACAACAACAACAACAACAACAACAACAACAACAACAACAACAACAACATCAACAGCAACAATGAAATAAAAGAGTAGCAAAACATTATCATATAATCAACAAGAACAAGGAGAGAGACAACTGGATACAAAGAACAACAGCTGTCAAACTGAAAACATTTGACAAGCTTTGACAGCGAGATAAGAACAGCAAAAAATGAGAGCAGAAACATCAGGCAGCTGCATTGTGCATAATCATTTCTCGACATAAAGTAATCGTGACACTCGCTTTCTACTTCGAGATTTGTCACGTGACATGATAAGAAACGTGCCATATTTATCTCGTGATGTCCTGATAGACTTGTTTGACCCCTGCATGTTGGAAATAGATCGCTCCGAGAGAATATGTCAGCAGTGATACTGACGTCAGAGCATAATCAACCCAGGTTCAGACGAAGACACGGAAAGTTCAAAGAACGGGCTCAATAAACACTTTCACCGGGACGTCCGAGACTGTCTCGGGCTCTCTGGTTAGACTAAAAGTAGAAGCAAATTCTTGTGTTACATTTTTCCCCTTATCCCTCCATTTCAAAACTGACTCCCCCGTTGCGCACAGTTAGTAGTACTCAGATATAACTTCATTGGCTATGATACTACCACTGCTGTACCCTCAAAGGGCACTATAAAATATGCAGCCGCAGGGACTCGAATTTCAATTCATATTATAATGTTACATTAGAAATTAACAAATTTGTTTATTTAAAGGGTTTGTTCATTTAAATACGCCATGTCAAATCCCAGGAGCTTAATTCCAATAGACTATACTTTGTGGCATAATAATAGGCACTTGTTGATGAAAGACAATCATCGCAATAATACGTCATCATCTGGTCATCTTTTCACATACTTGTCATATTTCTTCAGATCTACTCGTTTTGTTTTGTTTTAATATATAAAGGTAGGTAATTCGTTTTTCTTCATTTTATCCACCAATGTCCAGTGGCGGAGAGAATTTTTTTTTATTTAAAAAGAAAGATGTTGAGATTGTGACGTGGGGGGCAGTGTTTTATAAAAACAAAGGTCTCCGCGAGATCAGCTCACTGTCTCTAACATTGTGAAGTCAATGTGTTGACGGTTGACAGGGAACAACGACGAAACCAAACCATTTACTTCAAACAAAAAAGTAGCCTTCAATGGATGTTTATGTTTAATAGACTGGTATTTATGAAACGCAGGAATGTGCTTTTTATTCTTACGCGGCCAATACACGCATACATTTGTTGTCCAAATTTTTAGCTGATATTGATGTCTTAAAAGTATTAATGTCAAAATTTTGAGTATATTAAACAAAATTGATATTGTTGGCGCAAACCTTCAAATTATTTGTGCGTGTGTGGTACCCTATCGATATTTTTCGCCAAGTTCTTTTTGTTCATTGCCGCGCAATACAAAATATTAACATAGCGTCTAAAGAGATGACAAAACCTTTTCTTGGGCTGTCTATGTATATCGGAGTTTACCCGCGCTTTGGAAAGTGAAAGCAATCATTACTCCGATAGAATTCGTTTTAATGATGCATATCAGACTCTTTTAGACAGATATCGCGAGTGGTATAAGGAAGGGAAGAAAGATGAGCTGAAGAAGAGGATCAACTCATAACAGACGAATTTTGGAAAGGGCCTGAAAAGGGACAGCGACTCCCTACGCTGCAGAAACTACTTTTTTTTCTCAACTTTCGTTTCTGTTACGTGTTTCTACGCCTGAAGACTAAAGCAAAAGCCAACGCTGTTGATGCGTCCATGGCGAGGTCTAAGCACAGACTGATCACTGTGCGATGTAATATAATTATTATCTTGCCCAAGTCCTACTGACGCCTTTGGTGTAACGTTTAGGCACTTCATGGTTGCATGCCGAAGACAAAAGTTTGATCTCAATATAGGGGGGTCTTTTTTGTTAAGAATTTCTGTCTGTCTGCTGGGAGATTGTATCCCTTTCTGACAGGGTTGATCTCCCGTAATGGTCATAAGTTAAAAATCTTAATTGTGTCGATAGGGTCTACGATTACATAATTTGTATCTGACTCTTTCCTGTTGAAAGATGGACATTAAACAAGAGGCTCTGTTCGAGCCGATCACGAGCCGTATTCAAAGATTGTATTAAATATTTGAAACTAGAAAAGAAATAGAATTGTTCAAAACAATACTGAGATGGGACAAAAAAGAAAGTGTCACCCAAAAGCATTCAAAAGCATGGTGGGCAAGTAAAAATAAAATTCGGAAAATAGAAAGCAAAACTGAAAGGCTGACGGCACTTGTAATTGTTTTTATTTATATCTCTGAGTATATAAGGCATTCGTGTGGGGGCGTGCATTCATGTATACGAGTGAATGTTTTTTCCGTTTGACAAAAGGTGTGTGTGTGTGTGTGTGTGTGTGTGTGTGTGTGTGTGTGTGTGTGTGTGTGTGTGTGTGTGTGTGTGTGTGTGTGTGTGTGTGTGTGTGTGTGTTGGTACTGCTAAATGTCAGTGTGTGTGTTTGTGTGTATTTGTCTGTCTGTATGTTTGTCAATATATTTTGCTATTGTGCAAGCATGCTCAAGCACAGGCCAGTCACTTCCTTGTCAAGCCGAAGTCTGGGTGAAGCTTTAATGTATGTCACAATGGCACATGTTGTCATGGTGACATTTGGCGTGGTCCTTGCCACAGAGGGTCACACACTCGTCGTCAGAGGTACAGTTGGCGCTGTGGGCTGAGGAAAGAGGAGAGTGAGGCATCACATTTATGAACAATTCTTTTACGTTCTATACAGATGTTTCATTTCCAATCAGACCTTTCACTTCAAGCGATTGAAGGGTGCCGCTACGTACGTACGCCATACTACGAAATGTCAATATATGTGTTTCTGACTGCCAATGTCAGTTTTTACCATTTTTACATAAAGGGTTTCGCATTGATAAAGGCTACTTACTATTTAACTAAATGATGAAATCAAATGGATCTTTCACAGAATTCCGACACCTACGTAAATGAGGAGGAGGTAGGATTTCGGATGTAGTTTGCTAGTGCTATATTTATTATTGCAAAACTTTAATTAAATCCAAAAAAATATCATTCAAAATCACAGGTAGTTTTTCTGTAAACAAACGAGAGTTACCTACATTTATAGGGTATCAGTAAATCTCATTAATAAGATCCAGTAGGAAGGGACAACTACAGTTTGTAGGACACTTGACTCACCCTAAAAGATTTGATCATCATGCTCTCAATTGAAAAAGAGAAAGTAAACAAGGTTAGGGTGGACCCAGACAAATTATTTGGACAACCTGAACAGATGGATGACTGGGAAATGCAAAGACAATATAGTATTTTGAGAGCATGTGAAAGGAGAAAGGAATAGACCATAATCACCGTTGTCTTTTTAAAATCTGACATTGATGATACAACCCTATGGAGTTCAGAAGCAATACAACAATGTAACTACTCGTATGTTGCATTGTGGTTTTACTCGTGTGTGTGTGTGTGTGTGTGTGTGTGTGTGTGTGTGTATGTGTGTGTGTGTGTGTGTGTGTGTGTGTGTGTGTGGATGGATGTGAGTGTTTGTTAGGATGCGCGCCCGTGTGTGTGTGTGTGTGTGTGTGTGTGTGTGTGTGTGTGTGTGTGTGTGTGTGTGTGTGTGTGGTGTATGTGTGTGTGTGTGTGTGTGTGTGTGTATACCTGCGTCTTTTGAGTAGCTGATGGGCGCCTCGCGTCGCACGCAGAAGATCTGGGTTCGATTACCGTGTGTGGAGAATTTTAAAGTTTTTCTCTCTTTCTTCAGTGACTTTGTGTCCCTTTCAGCATGGGTTGAGGTCGGAGCCCGCTTCCTACATGATTTAAACCGTGTCCATTGGGAAGTAAATAACGCTTACATTATACTTCTTATATAATCTTAAAGTGTGTGTGGCAGGAGGGAGTAGGCAGATTACACATTTTCAGTAATACGAAATTATATTAACTCCCGATATCATCAATACTCACCACGAATATGAAAGTGAGACTGTTGGTGACCTGTAAAACAAGGAAGATTAATTTTGTAAATCCCCTGCACTAAAATGCATTGCAACATGAGGTAATAAGGAGAACAGCAAATATTTAAGACAGACCTGAAAGGGAAAGAAGAGAGTTAGCAGGCCGACAGTAAATGGAAGAAAAAAGACCACCCAAGTACCTGATCTCCCATTTGTTATTCTCCTCTCTTTTTCTATCACTTTCTCTCTCTCTCTCTCTCTCTCTCTCTCTCTCTCTCTCTCTCTCTCTCTCTCTCTCTCTCTCTCTCTCTCTCTCTCTGTCTCTCTTTCTGTCTGTCTGTCTGTCTGTCTGTCTGTCTGTATGTCTGTCTGTCTGTCTGTCTGTCTGTCTGTCTGTATCTCTCTCTCTCTCTCTCTCTCTCTCTCTCTCTCTCTCTCTCTCTCTCTCTCTATTTCTCTCACTCTCGCTCTCGCTCTCGCTCTTTATATATATGGGGGCTCTCATGGCCTAGAGGTTATTCGCCTCTCATTCAAAGGTCCCGGGTTCGAATCCGGGTAGCGACCGAAAATGTTTCTTCTCTAAAATTGTCTCCTTTCACCTCCCTCCCTGCTCTCTAAAAGTGTTCTGTCGTTTGCTTTCGTCTCTATTTTCTGCCCTATCCCCCCCCCACCTCCTTTGCCCCCTCCTCTGGGCTCCCGACTCTTTCTGCAGCCTTTCTACTGCTACTCCTTGGCTCCTTCTTACTGCTCTCTTTCAGCCACACCCCTGATCTTCTGGTAAGAAAGATCTACACCTAGCCTTCTCGGACAAGGCCGAAAAATCTCGGAGGTCCCGTGTGCAAGTTGCTCACGTTAAAGATCCCTTGGTGGTCTAAACTCGAGAAGAGTAGGTTTCGGCCGTCACCCCGGCAAAATTCGAAATTTATTACCCACTGAAAAATGTTTAGTGTGTCTCGCGCGCTCATAATGACCTCATGCAGTTGTGAGCGCCGTAAAACACTTACAATAACACACACAATAACAACAACAAAACATAATATGTATATATATATGATATATGTAAAATTATCTTCCCTCTCTTGCTCTTCCTGCATCTCTTCTCTCTCTCTTAATTTATTTCCTCTCTTTCTCTCTTCTCTCTCTCTCTCTCTCTCTCTCTCTCTCTCTCTCTCTCTCTCTCTCTCTCTCTCCATAAAATCTAAACACCAGATTGCATCTAAATAGATCCAGAGAAGCGTCTGAAGTGACGCTTTTCTTGTCCCGACAAGAAAAAATCAAAAGTGCATCAAGCAACTGCTCCCTAAATTGTTGCATAGCAATCTGGCCGATTTGGTTATTTGGGATAGCAGTGGGAACCATCGGAACAGGTATCAAATGTGTTAGTTTTCGTCTAGATCTCTCAAATTTGGCTGGCACGACTCAAACGAATTTGATAGGCAGTGTGAATTGGGTACAGCGGAAATTTTTATAACTTAATTTCGGAAGCTGTTAAAATGTTCTAGGCCCAGAAAGCAAAGTGTTACAAAAGTAAGGAAAAAAGTATCATCCTTTAAGGACTGGTGGGGCACCTGAGGTCTATTTTGGCTATTACAAGGCCTAGAGTGCCCATATTTGCTGTGGGACATCGTGTGCTATTGGTGATTTTAAATCAGTAGTTCAAAAAGTACATTGTGAATTGGTTGCTATGGAAACGGCGGCCATATTGGATTTTGTATACCTTTTTCTATCCCATTTTATTCCTTTATTTATGAACCGATTTACTTCTAATTTCGCATGCCAACAGTAAATATGTAGTTCTTAAATTTGGCTTGTTGAAATTTTGATATATGCTTTAGTTTTTATTTTATGACATTTACAATTGGTATGTTGCAAAAAAAGTGAATAAAATGGAAAATTCATGCTTACTAAGCCCATAAATCAAAAACTACCCCATTAATCAAAAATTCAACAAGCCAAAATTTAGAACTAGGTGTTGTTGATATCCTGTAAAGTTACATTGAAATTGAACCATAAACAGAGCAGAAAAATGGGATAATGCGTGAAAAAATAGAATTGTGAGAAAACAGCCGATTCAGGTAAGAAAAGGCTAGAAAACATGTGCTTTCGAAGAAAAACCTGACATCAAAACACAACTTTAGAGTGCAGCAAGGCTTACATACGTTTCTGGATATTGTTCAGGAAATGTCCAGGTACTATAATATGTAATAACCCCAATTTGCAAAATTTGACCACCAGAAAACACGATTTCTAGGTGCCCCACCAGCCCTTAATGATTGTACCTTTATAAAAATTGTGTCATATTTCCTGCTTTTTCAAAACTTTTAGTACTTAAATAAATTTCGACAAAATATTTATTGAGCCCCCACGACGGATATCACAGATTAAGAATCTGCAATACATTTTTTAAAGGATAAATACCGTGAGCAGCGTCACAATCACACTGTCCGTTCTGACAGACTCCATGATGGCTGTTACCACATACAGGTGGGTGACAGTCGTGGTCAGCGCTGCACGAGGTCGCTCTCTTGCCTACGGCGGGTTCTAAATTTAAAAAATGAAAACGAGATTCTTGTCGAATGATCTGTAATGGGAAATTGCATTAAATACCAACATGACTGATACACAACATAGACATAGAACTGAGGCTGGTCGTCAACTGTAAACACAGGAAGATTAATGGTGTAAATCTTCTTCATTAATACCCATTATTACTAATTATATACTGGAAAGATCATTCGCTGTCTTTGGCCCGGTACTCATTCTCACTTCTGTAAAATGCCTTTCCCAAGGACACAACGTCGTGCATGTGGCTCGAACCTCCGAACCCGTACCCTCACGATTACGAGTCTGGTAGCCTAACCATTAAACTACCGACGTCACAATAGGCCATGTGTATTTCTCGTACCGAAAATAAACAGCCAAAGGAGGATAATTTAGTACCTTCTCTCTAGATGACACAACCTGGGCGATTTTAGTCCTTTTTGAGAGCTATGGGGACGATCCGGGTAGTGACAGGAATTGAGTGTGTCGATGGTGGCGTATAACTACAGTTGTATAGAACGTATAGTAAATAATAATAATAATAATAATAATATTAATAATAATAATAATAATAATAATAATAATAATAATAATAATAATAATAAATAGCATTTAAACTGCACATTTCCATTTTCTAAAAAATGCTCAATGCGCATTACAACGAAAAAGACGTCACATCTTAAAAATTAATCTACATGCGTGTACGTAAAACAAAGTATTATACATATAATATGAATGTATATGTATAAAAATGTATATGAGAAAAACAGCCTCGCAATGAGGTTGGCAATGTGTTCACTAAAAATATACAATTAATATGGTATGGAAACTACATAATAAGCTAATAGATGCAGCTTTACGAAACAGGCGCTGAGTACCACTTAGCAACTTACCGTGATTGTTATGGTTGTTGTGATTGTTGTGGTGGTCGTTGTTGTTGTGGTTGTCTTGGTGGTTGTTGCCGCCGTCGCATTCACACTGTTTGGTGTCGCTGTTGCACGAGGCGACGTGTGCGTCGTGGCACGGCGAGGGGTGACAGTCCTGATCGGTGCTACAAGATGTCTGGCTGTACACAATGGCCACGCCTACGGGTGAAATAAAATGGTGAAATGGTATAGGTTTAACGTCCCTATCACGCCTAAAGGACACCGGAAATTCCCATAGTTATTCATAAATACACACATGAAAAATGTAAGCAAAACTATTTTTTTGCAAACTGCCATCAATATAAAACAATTGAAAATACCCACACTGTTATACACAGTATAGATTCAAAATTAAACAATAATAATTATGCTGATAACTTTCACATCTACAGTTTTGACTAACTCATGCCAGACCCACTTGGAAAGCAACAGTCACAGTGAGTGAGAAGACTCTGCCTGAATTTATCTCACTGACCATAACAGAAGCCACAGAACATCGCTCGTAAATCGTTGGTATCTACACTTCAGATGTATTGGTCATCGTAAGACACTACGCTACTTCAGAATTACAAACTTCTATCTGTACAATACCCAGTTTTGAGAAATTTGACGGCAACGATTTTTAGTTACATATTATATTAGGGTGTTTTTTTTCGAATGATATTCTTTGAATATATTGATAACGTCTCCGAATAAACTTACGAATTTGACAGAATAGACAGAAAGTTTGGTTTCTGACCTCATGACTTTATTGACTCAAAATGGCCTAAAATTTCAGATAGAAGTTTGTTATTCAAAGGTAGAGACTAGAAGACGAACCATTCTAGGTGAGCAGAATGGAAAGTCTCGACTATGTCTGTGGAATATATCTCGGCTGAACGTCTTACCCTACTTACTATATAATACAAGAGGACAGAACCTATCTGAGAGACCAATCGACGTCACACAGGAAAATTATCAAATTTAAAAAACAACGAGAATGAAAAACGTACAGAGTGCAAAAGCTAAGACGGCAAACTTGTACATGACTGCAGGTGTTCAAAGTTGTTGGCAATGTCTAAAGATGTCAATTTCTGGTCGTCGATTGTTTGTTTGAATAGAGGTTTCAAATTTCAACACTTTTATACCCCGTCGATCACGACACTGTTCGTGACTTTTGCATTAAAATTTTATATATTTTTTTAAAATGCAGTCTTCATTAAAAAGGGAGAAAATGTTTTATCAGTAGGAAAAGACGAGCCTTTCCGAAATGCTTAGTTTTCAAAATATTTTTTTTATCTCACGATTCCGTTCGAGAACTGAGGCATTAAAAAAAAATAAACATTGTAGCAAAACTCATTTTGCTCCTGTACTTCCAAAGTACAGAATTTCGTATCACTAGGACATGAATCCTGAACGTTTCTAAACCCTTGAAAGAAGATCTGAAAGCAGTTTGCAAGATACAGTTTTTACTTGGGCGATAACCAAATTTGAGGTAAATTGTCCGTGTTCTACTTCTCTCCCTTCAAATCTTGACTTCTTCGCTGTGCTCCAAAGAAGAGACCTGTTCAAAACGTTTGGAATTTAGAAAGGTGTATGTAAAGGATGTCTTTCCATTTTACAAATGTGGTGGAGATAGTTAACACGCAAATGTAGGCCTAACTATAACACATCAAAATTGGTAAACAATACCAGAGAGCCCTCTGTCTACTCACTTATGTGTTAGAGATTGTGATATGTCCTTTTCAGTTTCACTTTAGCTAAAAAGTAAGTTAGTAGCATATCAATCATACCGTTTGTAATATGATATTAGTCGTAATATTTATATATGACAAAACTAATATGGACAGAAAGTAAAGCATAATAAACATGGAGGTAGGGCTTGCACGGGTAACGGCATCCTTCATCCGCTCCAAGTGAAAGGTTAGCTGGAAGTTCCAACAACTATAAATTGAGTAACTGAATCGTTTATGCCTGTGATGCCCGTCTCTTGTATTGTCCTTAGCCCACAGCGCCAAATGTACCTCTGACGCCAAGTGTGTGACCCTGTGTGGCAAGGACCACGCCAAATGTCACCATGACAACATGTAGCACTGTTGCCTTTTATAGGGGGCTGGGGG